TCTCCAAATGTATCTGGACTTACTTTCTTCCAAAGAAGCATTAGGGACACAATGTCTCACTCAAGATAAGAAAGAAAAGAAAGAAAAGAATACTTTTGAAGAAATATCTGTTGAAGTTATCTCAATAAGTTTCAAGCCTCCACTAAATATCTAGAACAGAGAAAGAGTTGTTGAAATCCTTGTGTCTGCTGAATGCACTGCCAAAGGTAGCTCACTATTCCTTGCAATGCCAGTAAGGAATATGAGTTATTTCTGTTCTCCTAATGGTGAAGGGAAATAAAAGCTGAGAGGTTTTGTGATTCACCTCAGCCTGGGCAGGCGGGACTGCATTCAGCTCAGAAATCCCAACTTGGTATCTCTGTCTTGTATCCCCTTGCCCTAGGTATGAAAAGCCAATGCATTACAGCTTCCTCAGTGACTGGTTCAGTAGCACAGCTCTCAGAGGAGGAGGCTGTCATAACTTAACCCTCTGGAGATTAAAAAGAAGCCGTTGTTACAGGGAAATGTGCAAGGTGCCCCTCCATTCAGAAAGCCTCTTCCCTGCTGCATTCAACCACTGTCTTTTGCATTCTCTGTCCCAGGAGAGGACGTGGGCACTGAACCGTGCAGCAGCAGCACTTTTCCAGGCCAGGAGGCAGTCTGTTGGGCATAATTCAGTGCAGATCCAACCTCATGTGAGATACCACTGAACATGCAGTGAAGCAAATCAGACCCAGAGTGCAGACCCACGGGATCTGTGGAGAAAGGAGGGACACCCAGGACGGCCATGGGAGAACAGGGAGGAAGGAGGTGGCCATTCACTCACTGGCAGAAGACCCAAGAGAGTACAAGCATCAGCTGGGAGGCAGCAAACAGAAGTGCCTCCAGGGAGAAGCGCCTCCAGGGAGAAGCATCTCTGGGAGGCTGAGGGTGTCATGGGCCCAGGCACACACCCCCCCCCCCACCTAAGGGGGGGTATAGGAATGGAGTGGCAAGTGCTGGGGGAAGCAGCAAGGAGGCATTTACAATCCTCTGTCTCCCCTTCTGCCCCTAGGGATCCCCGGCAGTGCTGACAGCAATCCAAGGCTCATTTGGAGTTTAATCTGACAAGGGATGTCAAGGGTTTCTTTAAATACATCAGCAGCGAAAGAAAGACTGGGGAAAATGTGGGCCTGCTGCTGAATGGGGCTGGGAGCTGGTGATGAAGGATATAGAGAAGGCAGAGATACTGAATGCCTTCTTTGCCTCAGTCTTCACTGCTAAGGCCAGTCCTCAGGAATCCCAGGCCCTGGAGACCAGGGAGAAAGTCTGGAGAAAGGAAGACTCTCCCTTGGTGGAGGAAGATCAGGTTAGAGATCGTTTAAGCAAACTTGACATCCACAAGTCCATGGGCCCTGATGGGATGCATCCGCGAGTGCTGAGGGAGCTGGTGGATGTTGTTGCTAGGCCGCTCTTGATCATCTCTGAAAGGTCATGGCACTCAGGAGAGGGGCCTGAGGGCTGGAAGAAAACAAATGTCACCCTCCCATCTTCAAAAAGGGCAGGAAGGAGGAGCCAGGAAACTACTGGCCTGTCACCTTCACCTCCATCCCTGGAAAGGGGACGGCACAGCTCATCCTGGAGGCCATCTCTAAGCAAGTGGAGGATCAGAAGCTGATTAGGAGTAGTCAGCATGGATTCACCAAAGGGAAATTATGCTTGACCAATCTGAATGCCTTCTATGATGGAATGACTGGCTGGGTCATTCCCAGCCAGATGAGGGGAGAGCAGTGGATATTGTCTAACTTGAGTTCAGTAAAGCTTTTGACACTGTCTTCCATCACATCCTCACAGGCAAGCTCAGGAAGTGTGAGCTGGATGAGTGGACGGTGAGGTGGAGGGATGGTGAGAGAACTGGCTAGATGGCAGGGTTCAGAGGGTTGTGGTCAGTGGCGCAGAGTCAAGTTGGAGGCCTGTAGCTAGTGGTGTCCCCCAGGGGTCAGTCCTGGGTCCAGTCTTGTTCAATGTATTCATCAGTGACCTGGAGGAAGGGACAGAGTGCACCCTCAGCAAGTTTGCTGATGATAC